TCCCCAAATGGGGTCCCTGGGTGTCCCCCACTCCCCCTGGGGGTGTCCCCCCCTCCCCAAATGGGATCCCTGGGTGTCCCCCACTCCCCCTGGGGGTGTCCCCCCCTCCCCAAATAGGGTCCCTGGGTGTCCCCCACTCCCCCTGGGGGTGTTCCCCCCTCCCCAAATGGGGTCCCTGGGGTGCCCCCACTCCCCCTGGGGGTGTCCCCTCTTACCCTCCCGGGGTCCCCCACCACCCCGGGGTGCCCCCACTCCCCCGTCCCCGTTCCCCCCGTCTCCCCCCTCACTCCGCTGTTCTCCCCCCCTTGGCAGCCATGCACACTCCAGCTCCGGCCGAACTCTTCATCTCGGGAGCCCTTCCCGGCTCGGGCACCTTCCCGTCCTCGTCGGCGCTGGGCCCCTACCAGCACCCGGCGTCCTTCGGCGGCCGCAGCTTCCCGGTGGGTTCCCCGCTGAGCCTGCCCGAGGCCGCCTTCAGCCCCGGCTCCAACGGGCTGCTGTCGCCGCACGACCCGCTGCTGCACATCAAACCCGCGCAGCCCGCCGTGCCCTCCTCGCTGGGCTTCGACCGCCTGGGCTCGGCCGTGCTGGGCTCGGCGCTGCCCGCCCAGACGCCTCCGTACCGCCCGGCTCCCGCTTCCTCGCAGTTCAACCTGCTGGCCGCCGCCGAGCAGCCGCCCCAGCTCTACAACGCGCCCGTTTTCGGCGGCGCCAACGCGGCGGGCGGCGGCGACCGCGCCATATCGCGGCAGGACAGCGTCATCAAGCACTACCAGCGGCCCGGAGCGGCGCAACCGCAGCTGCCGCCGGCGCCGGGCTTGCAGCACTACCTGAGCTGCGGCGGCTCCTACCAGCAGGTGCCCGCGCACCGCGCCCCGCTGTCCTGCAGCCCGCTGGGCGAGCAGTCGCCCGCCAGCTCCGAGGGCTCGCAGCAGCCGCCCAAGGCCGCGCCCGCCGCGCCGCGCCCCGAGCCGGGCTACCGGCCCATCATCCAGTCGCCCGGCTACTCCGGCAGCGGCGCGGCGGGCAACGGCGGCGCGGCCGGCGGCAACGGCGGCAAGTCCAAGAGCTACTCGGCGTCGCGGCAGCCGCCGCGCTCCACCAACACGCCCAAGTGCCAGAGCAGCTACACGCCCAGCACGCCCAAGCCCAGCTCCGTCATCGCCAGCCAGTCGCCCGCCTACTCGCCGGGCCAGCCGCCCCAGAGCCTGCTGGCCATGGGGGGAGCCCCCGGCTACAGCGCGCCCGGCGCGCCCCAGAGCCTGGCGGGGGCGGCGCAGCCCGCGGGGGGCTTCAGCGGAGGGCAGGGGGGCGACCTGGGCGGCAAGGCCGGCGGCTACCAGGGCGGGGGGCAAGCCGGCGGCCAAGGGGGGCTGCAGCCCTGCGTCAGCGGCGCCGGCACCTACTCGCCCGAGCAGCTGCAGGCGCTGCCCTACGGCGTCCAGCCCGAGGGAGGGCAAGCGGGGGGCTACGGGCCCCCGGCCCCCTCGCAGGGCTTGCCCACCGCCAGCCCCTCGCTGACCTACAGCACCGGCCACTCGCCCGCCATGCCCGGCCCGCCGCTGCCCTACGCCGGCCTGGGGGGCTCCAGCCCCTCGCCCATCATCCGCCCGCTGCAGTCGCCGCCGGCCGCCCGGCCGCAGAGCGGCGCGTCGCCGGGCCAGTCGCAGAAGTACCTGGGCTCGGTGCTGTCGCCGTCCTTCATGGCCCCGCAGGGCTACGGCGCCGCTCCGGGCGGGGGGCTGGAGCGGCAGCCGCCCCCCGCCCCGCCGGGGGCGCCCCCGGCTTTCGGCAAGGGGGCGAAAGGCGAGGCGGAGCTGCTGGCGGCGGAGCGCAGCGAGGACGAGGATTTCCTGATCCAGCACCTGCTGCAGGCGCCCAGCCCGCCCCGAGAGGGGCTGGGGGGCTGCGAGGAGCGCCCCAAAACCCTGGGGGGCTACGGGGGAGCGCTGGGCAAGGAGGAGCGGTACCAGCTGCAGAGCGTCATCCGGCCCAACTCCAACCTGGAGGCGCCGCTGGAGCTGGCGCTGCTCAAGGAGAAGAAGAAGCCGGAGAGAGGCAAGGAATTCCGGGGGGCGAGCGGAGGAGGAGGGGGCGCCGAGGTGGCGGCCACCTCGGTGGTCCACTACGGCCACCAGCCGCCGCCCGCGCTGGACACGTACGAGCTGAAGAAGCCTCCGGAGCACCTCTCGGGCGGCAAGGAGCTGGGCCAGCCGCCGCCGCCGCACTCCTACCTGCCCAAAACCCCCGAGCACGGGCGGCTGGTGGGCGAGGGACCCCCGCTGGAGCCCCACAACCTCCTGCTGGACCCCTCCCCGGAGCTGGGGGGCTCGCTGCTGCCCTCGGTGCTGACCCACACGCAGAGCCAGCTGCACGGCCGGCCCAAGGGCAGAGCCCCGCTGGACGTTCACCTGCTGGAGCAGCAGAGGATGCCGCCCCCGCCGCCCCCTCCGCCGCCGCCCCCCGCCGCCCCCTCGGCCGCCCCGGCCCCTCCGGCCGCCCCCTCCCCGCAGCTGCTGCTGGAAGCCCACCTGCACCAGGTGCGCTCGCAAGGGCTGGACCCCCAGGCCCCGCCGCCGCTGGCCCCCGACTCCATGGAGGTGTTGCCCCCTCCCCAGGAAATCCAGGACTTCTTGGAGCCCCCCTTGGGCTTGGAACCGCACCTGGGGCAGAGCGCGGGGGTGCAGGGACCGCCCGGGCACCTGCTGGACCCCGAGGGGGGCGTCCCGGCCGTGCCCCCCGAAGCCAAGGACCAGTTTTCGGAAGGGGGGAGCCCCGCGGGGGGCAAGGGGCGCTTCGTGCCCCTCACCTCCATCTGCTTCCCGGATGCTCTGCTGCAGGACGAGGACCGCGGCTTCTTCCCCGGCATGGAGGACATGTTCGGACCCCCGCCCGAGGACTTCCCCAAGGCCAGCGAGGAGGAGGAGGAGGAAGGCAACGCCAACGCCGGCGGGCTGGAGGCGCGGCCCGAGGGGATGAAAGCGCCGCCTCCGTACGATATGGGGCAGAGCTACCCCTCGTTCTGCCCGCAGGACGGGGGCGCCGCCGGGGACCCCCCCCAGCTGGGGCTGGAGCCCCCCAAACACGAGTTACCCTCCACGGTGAACGCGGAGCCGCTGGGCTTAATCCAGAGCACCGGCGACGGGGGTCCCAAACCCCCTCCTCCTCCTCTCAGCACCCCTCTCTTCTGCTCCTCCAAACCCAAAAAGCTGCTGAAAACTTCGTCCTTCCACCTGCTGCGCAAGCGGGACCCCTTCCCTCCCCCCAAAAAAACCTACGCGCAGGAGTACGAGTTCGAGGACGACGAGGATAAAGCCGACGTGCCCGCCGACATCCGCCTCAACTCGCGGCGCCTCCCGGACCTGCTGCCCGACCTCATCTCCAGCTGCCGCCGGCCCCCGCTCACCCCCATGGGCGACATCGACTTCTGCCCGCACCCCGGCGCCCACCCCGCGCCCAAGAAGCGCGGCCGCAAACCCACCAAGCCCAAGCGGGAAGGGCCCCCCCGGCCCCGGGGCCGGCCCAGGATCCGGCCCCTGGAGCCGCCCGGGTTCCCCGAGGGAGCCAAGCGGCCGCGGGGCCGGGGCCGGGGCCGGGGCAAGAAGGGCGGCGAGGACGGAGAGGGGATGGAGCCGCTGCGGCCGCTCAAGGTGAGGGGTTGGGGGGCTCCGCGTGGTCCCGAAATGACTCAAATTTGGGGTTGGGGGGCTCCAAATGGTCCCGAAATGACTCAAAATTGGTGTGATCGGAATGGTCCCGAAATGACCCAAAATTGGGGTTTGGGGGGCTCCAAATGGTCCCGAAAGGTCCCAAAATCGGGGGTTGGGGGGCTCCAAATGGTCCCGAAAGGACCCAAAATCGGGGCTTGGGGGGCTCCACGTGGTCCCGAAAGGACCCAAAATGGGGGGTTGGGGGGCTCCACATGGTCCCGAAAGGACCCAAAATCGGGGGTTGGGGGCTCCGCGTGGTCCCGAAATGATTCAAATTTGGTGTGCTCGGAATGGTCCCGAAAGGACCCAAAATTGGGGTTTGGGGGGCTTGGGATGGTCCCGAAATGACTCAAATTTGGGGTTGGGGGGCTCCGCGTGGTCCCAAAATGACCCAAAATCGGGGGGTTGGGGGGCTCCAAATGGTCCCGAAGTGACTCAAATTTGGTGTGCTCGGAATGGTCCCGAAATGACCCAAAATTGGGGTTTGGGGGGCTCCGAGTGGTCCCGAAATGACCCAAAATCGGGGGTTGGGGGCTCCGCGTGGTCCCGAAATGACTCAAATTTGGTGTGCTCGGAATGGTCCCGAAATGACCCAAAATTGGGGTTTGGGGGGCTTGGGATGGTCCCGAAATGACTCAAATTTGGGGTTGGGGGGCTCCGCATGGTCCCGAAATGATCAAAATTGGGGTTTGGGGGGCTCCATATGGTCCCGAAATGACCCAAAATCGGGGGTTGGGGGGCTCCGCATGGTCCCGAAAGGACCCAAAATTGGGGTTTGGGAGGGTCGGAATGGTCCCGAAATGATCAAAATTGGGGTTTGGGGGGCTCCATATGGTCCCGAAAGGACCCAAAATCGGGGGTTGGGGGGCTCCGCGTGGTCCCGAGAGGACTCAAAATCGGGGTTTGGTGTGCTCAGAATGGTCCCGAAAGGACCCAAAATGGGGGTTTGGGGGGCTCAGAATGGTCCCGAAATGATCCAAAATTGAGTTTGGTGTTCTCGGAATGATCCCAAATTGGGGTTTCAGGGCTGGGTGTGCTCAGAATGGTCTCAAAATGACCCAAAATTGGGGTTTGGTGTGCTTGGAATGGTCCCAAAATGACCCAAAACTGGGGTTTGTGGGGTTGGGGGCTCGGAATGGTCTCGAAATGACCCAGAATTGGGGTTTGGTGTGCTCGGAATGGTCCCGAAATTGGGGTTTGGTGGAGGTTGGAGTGCTCAGAATGGTCCCGAAATGACCCAAAATTGGGGTTTGGTGCGCTCAGAATGGTCCCGAAATGACCCAAAATCGGGGTTTGGGGATGTTGGAGTGCTCAGAATGGTCCCAAAATAACCCAGAATTTGCGTCCTCCCATCTCCCTCCAGGTCAAGCTGGCTGTCTCCATGGATGGATTACAGTCTCCCAGTACAAACCAGTATAACCAGTAACCCCTTTTCTCCCACACAGATCAAACTGGCCGTGTCCATGGGGGTTCATGGGGTCATAGGATCAATGTGTCCCAGTACAAACCAGTACAACCAGTAACCCTTTCTCTCCCCACAGATCAAGCTGGCCATGCCCATAGATGGGTTAGCGTCTCCCAGTACAAACCAGTACAACCAGTAACCCTTTCTCTCACAGATCAAACTAACCATGTCCATGGGGAATTCATGGGTGTTCATGGGGTTATGGGATCCGTGTCTCCCAGTACAAACCAGTATAAC